ACAAGTTGTAACAAGCGGAAATTAGACAGTTTCGGTTTGTGTTTCCTGGGTAGTGAGCTCGTAGTGGACTTACCTGGCACAGGAGCAGGCTGTGGTGAGCCCGTAGTGTACTTACCTGACACAGGAGCGGGGCTGTTGTGAGCCCGTAGTGTACTTACCTGGTACAGGAGCGGGGTTGTAACTTGTCTTACAAGGATAAATCAAGACCTACATAAAAGTGGGTAAACCCCACTCTACCATTCACCTAACTCCCATAATCGTAGGGAGCGGCGAAGGATAGGGTGAGGTGAGTGTTGCCTGACTTCGGCTTCTAGTTGTCCGCCAAGTCTTACATCTTCCCTCTGGGTCAATGGAGGACCATCAAACAGTTGTAAGCTCCAAGCCGAAGTCATCTAGATTTTAATTACTGGTGTCAGCTCCCAAATGATCACAACCTCAACCATACGAAGCCTCGTACGACCGTCGGTGGTGGTGTGATGGAGCTGGTGGTGGTGATGTGAGGGTGCTGCTGGTGGTGGTAGTGAGGGCCCAGGAGGGGTGACAGGGACAAGGGGTCAAACACAGCCTGGAGGCTGGTCTGGACGCCTCCACAAGTCCCTAATTGAGCACACACCTTCCTTCTCAGAACTCCAAGTTGTGCTTTATTGTAAAGCTTGTGGGTACTTTACTGTCCCCCGTGTGGGTACTTTACTGTCCCACGTGTGGGTACTTTACTGTCCCACGTGTGGGTACTTTACTGTCCCACGTGTGGGTACTTTACTGTCCCACGTGTGGGTACTTTACTGTCCCACGTGTGGGTACTTTACTCTCCCACGCGTGGGTACTTTACTGTCCCAGCAGCAGCAGCAGGACCACAACTCTGGCTTTCCCAACTACCTGGCTGACCTTGGTGGCACACACACACATACAGGCTCCTGTTGCTCTACCTCTATATTCCCACACAACACAAACATGGTAGACAAAATGTTGTCCCGCGGCGGCCAGAGCTCCTCCAGCATCCAGGACGGGAGACTCCCAATGGTTCCCCATCTCTGTTATTACCATGTGGCGCCAGGCCTTCCCAAGTGGTGGCTGTAGAGCCGGGCTGGCTAGAGGCTCCGGCTACCATGGTGGCTGTACAGCCGGGCTGGTCCGTGCTGGCCGGAGACCTCTCCTGCCACCATGGTCCTGGACGCACACTAATGAGGCGGTTGTCACCATAATGTTGACTACAGTGACACCGTCTGGCCAGGTCCGCCTGCCCCTCACAACCCTCTATGGTGATGACGCGCGGTGAGCAGTGGTGATGGTGAGGGTCTTGGTGAGATGGTGGTGAGGGCTGTGGTAGTGTCGCTGGTTGTGTGATGGTGACACGGGTGGCTATGAGGGGGGGGGGCAGAGGAAGTTAGGGACGCGGCTAAATGAATGATATTGAAGATTCAGCCGCCACAAGAGGCGGCACGGGCAAGAATAGCCCGTCACTGGTAGACTTGTTGGAGTGTGTGTGATCATTGGTGGTGACGCCACCTGGCTACGTGTTTCATGTTCTTGTTGCAGTACCACCTCCTCTCCCCCTCCCTCACCCCACACCTTCCACCAATAACACTGCAGTAGGCCTACTGGGTCGTAGGAGAAACGCCTTCTATATACCCCAACATAGGCCTACTGAATCATGTGATTCAGGTCTTGGTCAGTAGGCCTACTGGTGTGTGCCAGGCTGGTCATTGTCATACAATAGGCTTAATGGGTCGCACAAGACACGAACACTGTATGGACCAATAGATCTACAGACCTACGTCATCGTCAGAGGGAGGCACTATGTGCTAGCTGAAGTGTGGCGGTGGATCCTATTGATCCCTGGTAGGTCTTGTGGGTCGCCCGTAGCAGGTCCTGGTGATCCCTGGTAGGTCTTGTGGGTCGCCCGCGCCAGGTCCTGTTGATCCCTGGTAGGTCCTGTGGGTCGCCCGCAGCGGGTCCTGTTGATCCCTGGTAGGTCCTGTGGGTCGCCCGCAGCGGGTCCTGTTGATCCCTGGTAGGTCCTGTGGGTCGCCCGCAGCGGGTCCTGATGATCCCTGGTAGGTCCTGTGGGTCGCCCGCAGCGGGTCCTGATGATCCCTGGTAGGTCCTGTGGGTCGCCCGCAGCGGGTCCTGGTAGGTCCTGTGGGTCGCCCGCAGCAGGTCCTGTTGATCCGGCCAAAAGGTGTACTGGTGTTAGTAACATATGAGTGTGAAAGAGTGAATAATACAGCAGAAGCTACTGAGAGACGGGACGCCTGGCTGCTCTTGGCGTGTGTCATCACTAGAGACTGAGCCCAGAGCCAGGCGCCACAACCACGTCCTTCCCCTCTCTCTGTCTTACGGCAGATGCTCCATTGTTTTACAAGACGGTTCTTCAGAGTTCGTTTTATAATTGTTGTGACGTTAGGGTCTTAGTCTATTATTTGGATTAGGCTGTCTTAGTCTATTTTTGGGTTAGGTTAGGGGAGGTCACTACCAGGGAGGCCAATACCTTTAGGCTGGGCTCTGAGTGTTTAAGACCTCTTGAAGCTCTCCACAGGTATAAATTCCACCTTGTACTCTTTGAGCAAGTCCCAGCTGTATTATAATTATATTTACATGTGACAGAGGATTACGTGTGTGGATCATAAGAGAGGAATTAGCTTGTGTGAGACAGGCATTTCCACCTTTATTGAATATCTTTCTTGAGCTGGGACCTTAATATGAGTCCAATGTCTTAGTCTTATTCTCAAGTCCCAGAGATCTCACGACAAGGTACCAGGAGGAGGAGGAAGACAAGGTACCTGCAGGAGGGGGGGAGGACAAGGTACCTGCAGGAGGAGGAGGACAAGGTACCTGCAGGAGGAGGAGGACAAGGTACCTGCAGGAGGAGGAGGAGGACAAGGTACCTGCAGAAGGAGGAGGAGGACAAGGTACCTGCAGGAGGAGGAGGACAAGGTACCTGCAGGAGGAGGAGGACAAGGTACCAGCAGGAGGAGGAGGACAAGGTACCTGCAGGAGGAGGAGGAGGACAAGGTACCTGCAGAAGGAGGGGAAGGACAAGGTACCTGCAGGAGAGGGGGGAGGACAAGGTACCTGCAGGAGAGGGGGGAGGATAAGGTACCTGCAGGAGGGGAAGGATAAGGTACCTGCAGGAGAGGGGGGAGGACAAGGTACCTGCAGGAGGGGAAGGATAAGGTACCTGCAGGAGAGGGGGGAGGACAAGGTACCTGGAACCCAGCATGAACGGGATTTCCAGGCCCCGAGCCACCAGTTGGTGCTCACTACTGACGCGGGACGACATCGCCCACTGCAGGGAGAGGTGATCCCCCACCAGGGGTACAAGAGGATTTTCGCCTACACGTGCACTGTTGGTTGGTGTTATGCTCGCCCTGCCTCGCGGGGCCAGGGCGGAGTGAATCTTCCGACGCCTTTTTTTTGTAATGTTGGGCAGCCGGACATGACCATACTTGCCTCCTACCACCACCACCACCGCCCCCATCACCACCGCCACCATCACCACCACCACTATCACCACCACCATCACTACCCCACCACTACCACCACCACTATCACCACCACCTCCACCACCATCACGAGGATAAATTCGTATTTGCCGTGTTTGCAGATGACGTAAAGCAGAAGAGGAAAATAAAAACAGAGGAGTACTGCAGGAAGTTACTGGAGGACCTTGACAATCTCCAGGAATTATCTAGCAAATGGTTGCTGGAATTCAATTGCAACAAGTGTAAGACAATTAAAGATGGGACAGTGAAAGAGGAGACCAGAAGGATCTACACCATAAGGAGAAGAGAGCTACAATAATCAGAAATAGCGAATGACCTGAGAGCGGCTATAGTTCCCGACACTCACACCGGAGGCGCTACAAACACGCTAATATTAGCAGCAAGTGCGACGCTGGTCAATATAAGACCATTGTTTAGAAACTTAAATGGGTTCACCTTAATCAGCTATACACACACCACACACATGGGTCACCTTGTACACACACATGGGTCACCTTGAACGGATGGGTCTGCCTAATATAGACATGGGTTTGCGTTGTACAGTCATGGGTTCTATCTTCCTAATCACTATTTAAAACAAAAAATTGCATTCTTTCATCACTAACATTCCTCTCTGTTCTCTTGCTGTGATTCTCATTTGTAGTGTGTTTTATGACACAAGTGGACGACTGTGTATTCTCTCAGTGGCTGTCAAGTGTAGACGACTCTGTCAAGAGTGGACGACTCTCCGTGTCAGTCAAGAGTGGACGACTCTCCGTGTCAGTCAAGAGTGGACGACTCTCCGTGTCAGTCAAGAGTGGACGACTCTCCGTGTCAGTCAAGAGTGGACGACTCTCCGTGTCAGTCAAGAGTGGACGACTCTCCGTGTCAGTCAAGAGTGGACGACTCTCCGTGTGTATCAAGTACACAGTGATTCACCTGTACTGGGTGTCGTGGGGTGTCTGGCTACCCTGACTGATGACCAGGAATGTGGTGGATGATATACTGGGTGTAATATATGGAAGGTTAGGTGGTATAGTGTTGAACCAGTGGGAGACGTTGGGTAGGGAAGTGGTAGTGGTGGTGTGGTGACGTAATTGGTCAGTGGTGGACCAGTGGGGTGAAGTGAGTTGAGGTTGAGTGGTGGTGGTGTAGTAGTGAGTTAAGGTGTTGATGGTGGTAGTGGAGTGGTGTTGATACGTGTAAGGTACTGTGACAATGGTAGTGCTGGTAGATGTGAGATATTGTGGTGGTAGCAGTTGGGTTTGTGGTTAGGTAGTGGTGGTGGTTATTGTGTAGTTGACAGGTGTGTGGTGGAAGAGGGGGAAGGGACTGTACGGGTTGAATGGATGGTAAAGGGTTGATGGTACGAAGGAATAGTTGAGATGGTGATTGTTGTGTAGTAGGGAGGTGGTGTAGGTTGGGGGTGGGGGTGGTGGGGGGGGGTGTATGTGGTAGGGGTTATCGTAGTGGGGGTGGTGTAGGTCCCACAAGGTTAGCTGAAGGTGGGGTCCAGTATATAAAGGAGGCGGACGAGGTGCAGCGCGCACTCTACCCCTCTCCACCAACTAGGTAGGTAAGGCGACCTCCTCCTCCACCACTGCTGGTGTGTCTGAGAGCTCTCTCTCCACTCTGAGCCTCCACCAGCCCACCTGACTGTGTTCTTGTGCCCATGTGAAGTGCTGTGATACCTCCAGAGTTTAGGTTACCTAAACTGTGACTGGCCGAGCGGATTGAATACAAATCTTATCTTGTCGAGTCTTGGGTGACGGCATCTTGCAGGACCATCACCAGTGCGTCGACGCTGTGAAAGTGATATGTTCGTGACGCGAATCTCTAACTACAGTCCTAACCTCCACATTTTCCTTTTACTAAAATCTAGAAAGTACAGAGGTTCTCTGCATTTCCTCGATTGGGTATATTGGTGTTTTTCCAGGTGGGGCCCTGCTTGCAGATCCCCCCCCCCCACATGGTCTAGTAATGGAGGAATGTTAATGATACGTGATATTCTGAAGGCATGTCATATAGATTTCTGAAGGATGTGGTGACAGTCGCCGGGCTGAGCGTATGCTGCTGATGTGATGGTGTTTACATGTGACACAGGTGGCAGTTGTGTTTCTCTCACTCACACAAGGTAGTTCTTTCCCTTCATTGTATATTGCATCTTTGGCCTCCTTTCACTTGCTACGATCATCATGACCTTGCATGTGCTGACTTGAAATCTAGCAATCACTTGTGAAACCAGTCTTGCAATACTAGTCTTCCTGGAGCATCCTGCAATAGTCGTTCCCCTTGACTGTTCTCGATATTTCTTCTTCGTCTTCCAACAATGACACGAAGATGTCCAGATCTTTTTGTATTTCCCGCGTCAACTCACCTAGCTGAGTTTATATCGCTAAGCTTCAGCTCCAGGGCTCGCCTCATGCTGCCTTAACGCCTTGTGTAGTTGGGGATTATCACGCCTGCTTTTGATACCATGTTTAGAGTGCGACTCGACCAGCTTCCTCAGCACCCTAGCTCTGATAATGTTATTCCTGCTAAGGTTTCCAACTTCCCTCCGTGTGGCGTGTTTCTGCTCTCTCCCGCCTCATGTATTGTGTTTTGCCTGACCACAAACTTACTACCAAATAAACCTATTGAAGAGGCTGATACATAAAAAACAGCAATATTAAGGTGATTTAATTTTTCTAAATAGTCGCATTTTTAACAGATTGATCGATTCCGTTAAAAATGCGACGTGTTAGGGGAGATGACGGGGTTTTTCTGTATAACTTTTCGGAAGACTTTGTGAGTGAGAATAAAGTGGCCTCAAGTGGCGCCCTCATGTCCTCGCTGTGAGGGGACATGAGGGCACCTTGGTCCTGTCCCTCCTGGTACACTCACTCCCGGGGCCGGTCTCCCTCACCAGTCATCAAACATTCACGAAACCTGTACATCTTTCACCAATCATGGCAACTTTTGTTTACATTTATTAAACAGTGTATGAGCTCTGATGCCTTACGAGATTGATTATAGCAATAACAATCTTAGCTTGTGACGTTACGAAGCTCGTAAACTGCTTATTACAAATAAACAAAATCCGCCGTCACTGAGGACAACTGTAAAGATTATGAAAGTGGAAGCGTAAATGTTTTAGTCCACTCAGCAACTGCTTCACTTTCTCCACCATCACTCCAACCCGTTACGTCTGTACAGTAATGGCCGTCCATGAGGAGCGTTGTCAATGATCTGCTGTTTTTTTTTCCACATTTTTGAAGGCCATTGTGGCGACTGGCAACCCCTTGTGTTGATGTTATGTGTGTGTTGGATGGTTAGGTTCACTGCGGTGGTTCATCCCACACTGTGTCCTTGCCACATGACTTGAGATGTTTCACAAGCAAGACCTTACCGTACCCTCTGGTATCCTCTTCCAAGCCGACACTTGCATTGTTTCTTATGCTTGCTAGCGTTCAGTATTTGCATATTGTTTGCTGGGCCACGACTGTCATCTGTCCTAGCCTCCAGGTGTGTGTGTGTGTGTGTGTGTACTCACCTATTTGTGCTTAGGGGGGTTAAGCCTTGGCTCTTTGGTCCCGCCTCTGTGTGTGTGTGTGTGTGTGTGTGTGTGTGTGTGTGTGTGTGTGTGTGTGTGTGTGTGTGTGTGTGTGTAACATGAATGCACGCACACGCACACACGCACGTTCAAGAGATTCACGCAAAGTAGTGAGTGTCGGAGACATGGCTGTATGAACCAGCGAGAGTGAGACTGCCAGTTAGGAGGATGTTGAGCCTTCACTAAATGCTCACTTGAGGTTAAGTGAATGTGTTGTGGTGTCTTTGTGGCCCCCGGCAGGCTTGGACGGTGTGGCCTCCCGGGCAAGCTTGGCCGGTGTGGACCCCAACAGGCTTGGCCGGTGTGGCCCCCAGCAGGCTTGGCCGGTGTGGCCCCCCAACAGGCTTGGCCGGTGTGGCCCCCCAACAGGCTTGGCCGGTGTGGCCCCCAGCAGGCTTGGACGGTGTGGCCCCACGGTTCTGACCAGTGAGGCAAGACATAAAGGGAACACGTGTTCACATCACGTCAGCAGGTGTGGGGGGCGGGAGACCCCCTTCACTGGGGTCCACGTGATAGGGGAAGGGAATTACTTGTGGTTGACATACGGCTACAGAGGGGGGTCTGGGGCGGGGGATGGGGGGAGCACATTTTGATAGGAATTAGAGACTTCTTTCTCTCTCTCTCACACACACATATGTTTGTCACAACACCATCGTGATCGCCATACACGGGATGCATACTTACTCCCGTTGAAATCTCCCGCAAGTAAAGCCACAGTTCTCCTTAGCCTACCATCTTCCTCACCTTCAACACGACCCATTTACATTACACACATTACATATAAGGACATTTTAGGCCATAGTGTCTATATCTAGACCAAAAAATATATAATTTTACTGACAAACATATTTTCCAATGGAAAATGATGTTTGAGTGCATAGTGTCACTATGCACTCATAGTGACACTATGAGTGTATAGAGCTGTCAGTGACTGACACAACATCAGCATGTAACAGGTGGCCGCTATGTTGTGGTGTCTGTCATGTCAACCATGTAGGAAATAAAGGTTATGTGTACAGTTAACAGTTGAGGTGTGAGACCTCCCGCTCTCTAAGGATGGCAGTCACCATAGCTCAGTTACCGGAAAATTCCAGGCAACAATTTATCTCTGAGAAAGTGTGTGATGGTGAGCTCCCTGGTACACCGCCCCCGGTCACTTGAGAGTCTCACCATATCTCCGAGGAGATATGGTGAGTTTCACCATATTTCCCAGATTTCCGCGGTCAGGGGAAAGCTTGAAGGCAATCCAAGAAACCCACAAGGTAACCACAGCGTCGTCGTAGCGACGTTATTACGTTTCAACAACGTAAAAAATAAAGTTTATGTTTTCTTAAATGAGTTAAGACATCAGCTGACGGAGCTCCGTGTTGCAAGGTTCGTTGCAACTCCTCTTGCAACGAACTCCCGTTGACTCACCACCGTCTCCTTACCAACAACACCTTCCTCTAACATAGACTAGTTGTCACGATGTTGGGCATGAGGCCAGGATGTTGGGCATGAGGCCATCATGTTGGGCATGAGGCCAGGATGTTGGGCATGAGGCCAGGATGTTGGGCATGAGGCCAGGATGTTGGGCATGAGGCCAGGATGTTGGGCATGAGGCCAGGATGTTGGGCATGAGGCCAGGATGTTGGGCATGAGGCCAGGATGTTGGGCATGAGATCAGGATGTTGGGCATGAGGCCAGGATGTTGGGCATGAGGCCAGGATGTTGGGCATGAGGCCAGGATGTTGGGCATGAGGCCAGGATGTTGGGCATGAGATCAGGATGTTGGGCATGAGGCCAGGATGTTGGGCATGAGGCCAGGATGTTGGGCATGAGGCCAGGATGTTGGGCATGAGGCCAGGATGTTGGGCATGAGGCCAGGATGTTGGGCATGAGATCAGGATGTTGGGCATGAGGCCAGGATGTTGGGCATGAGACCAGGATGTTGGGCATGAGGCCAGGATGTTGGGCATGAGATCAGGATGTTGGGCATGAGATCAGGAAAATGGGCATGTTGGACTGCATTTGTAATAATGTAGGTTCTATTAATACTTTATGCTGTTAACATTCATTACCAATTTTAATAATAATAATAATAATTAACGTGATGTATAAATGACAAAATCAGCAAGAGCCGTGAGTAGGATCTGAACCAATGCGCTACAAACTTAGAGCGTTTGCCTGGGAGTACACAGTGCATGGGTTCGAATCCTCCTCACGGCTCTTACTGATTGTCTCAATAATAATAATAATAAAAAGGAGTGTAGGGGTGGCGGGGGTAAGAGAGGAGTGTAACAAGGTGTTGTGTTGTCCTCCTCAGAATGCGTCTGATACTGGTGCTCGTAGCGCTCGTGGCGGCCGCCGCCGCTGACAAACTTCAACAGCAACAACAACAGAAACCTGCAAAGGGAACCCTCCTTGCCCTGCCAGTACCTGAACTGTGTGCTTCACGTGAGTACCCCGACTGTCCCTGACAACTGTGTGCTTCACCCGACTGTCCCTGACAACTGTGCACTTCACCTGAGCACAATAACAGTCATGGTGACTACCACCACTAACTGTAAAACGCACGCCAATGTTGTCTATAATGTAGAAGAACATTGCATGTGAATATGTGGTAGTCGCCAGTCGGAAGGTTGTAGCAGTATATATATACAAAGTTGATCTCATACAAAGTGGAATCAAAGTACCTCAAACTGTCAGAGAAATCACTGCATGAATCATATCACTGATCTTCCACTAAGAGCGGTGTTTAGTGTTTACTTAGATAAGTTTGATGCAACAATTAATTATGGTTAATTAATCATTAATGCTGGTTGACTGTCCATGTGCCTCAGGTCCTAAACAATGGCAGTTCGGCATCCACAACTACTTCTTCTCCTGGGACCAGGAGCGCCCTGGCTTCTACGAGGAGGAGAGCGCTAACCCGCAGGAGAACGTGGGCAAGAAGGTGAACTGGCTGGTGGCGCGCAATGAGTGCCGTCGACGCTGCATGGACGCCGTCGGTATTGAGACCGAGGCTGAGAACAACATGATCTTCGACTTTATAAAAAACCGTAAGTTATTATGCTCCTATGGTCCTCTGTTGGTGGTGCTCCCTCCCTCGTCCCCTTGTTGGTGATGCTCCCTCCCTCGTCCCTCTGTTGGTGGTGCTCCCTCCCTCGTCCCCTTGTTGGTGATGCTCCCTCCCTCGTCCCTCTGTTGGTGGTGCTCCCTCCCTCGTCCCCTTGTTGGTGATGCTCCCTCCCTCGTCCCCTTGTTGGTGATGCTCCCTCCCTCGTCCCCTTGTTGGTGATGCTCCCTCCCTCGTCCCTCTGTTGGTGGTGCTCCCTCCCTCGTCCCTCTGTTGGTGGTGCTCCCTCCCTCGTCCCTCTGTTGGTGATGCTCCCTCCCTCGTCCCTCTGTTGGTGGTGCTCCCTCCCTCGTCCCCTTGTTGGTGGTGCTCCCTCCCTCGTCCCTCTGTTGGTGGTGCTCCCTCCCTCGTCCCTCTGTTGGTGGTGCTCCCTCCCTCGTCCCTCTGTTGGTGGTGCTCCCTCCCTCGTCCCTCTGTTGGTGGTGCTCCCTCCCTCGTCCCTCTGTTGGTGGTGCTCCCTCCCTCGTCCCTCTGTTGGTGGTGCTCCGTCCCTCGTCCCTCTGTTGGTGGTGCTCCCTCCCTCGTCCCTCTGTTGGTGGTGCTCCCTCGCTCGTCCCTCTGTTGGTGGTGCTCCCTCCCTCGTCCCTCTGTTGGTGTTGCTCCCTCCCTCGTCCCTCTGTTGGTGGTGCTCCCTCCCTCGTCCCTCTGTTGGTGGTGCTCCCTCCCTCGTCCCTCTGTTGGTGGTGCTCCCTCCCTCGTCCCTCTGTTGGTGGTGCTCCCTCCCTCGTCCCCTTGTTGGTGGTGCTCCCTCCCTCGTCCCTCTGTTGGTGGTGCTCCCTCCCTCGTCCCTCTGTTGGTGATGCTCCCTCCCTCGTCCCTCTGTTGGTGGTGCTCCCTCCCTCGTCCCTCTGTTGGTGGTGCTCCCTCCCTCGTCCCTCTGTTGGTGGTGCTCCCTCCCTCGTCCCTCTGTTGGTGGTGCTCCCTCCCTCGTCCCTCTGTTGGTGGTGCTCCCTCCCTCGTCCCTCTGTTGGTGGTGCTCCCTCCCTCGTCCCTCTGTTGGTGGTGCTCCCTCCCTCGTCCCTCTGTTGGTGGTGCTCCGTCCCTCGTCCCTCTGTTGGTGGTGCTCCCTCCCTCGTCCCTCTGTTGGTGGTGCTCCCTCCCTCGTCCCTCTGTTGGTGGTGCTCCCTCCCTCGTCCCTCTGTTGGTGGTGCTCCCTCCCTCGTCCCTCTGTTGGTGGTGCTCCCTCCCTCGTCCCTCTGTTGGTGGTGCTCCCTCCCTCGTCCCTCTGTTGGTGGTGCTCCCTCCCTCGTCCCTCTGTTGGTGGTGCTCCCTCCCTCGTCCCCTTGTTGGTGGTGCTCCCTCCCTCGTCCCTCTGTTGGTGGTGCTCCCTCCCTCGTCCCTCTGTTGGTGATGCTCCCTCCCTCGTCCCTCTGTTGGTGGTGCTCCCTCCCTCGTCCCTCTGTTGGTGGTGCTCCCTCCCTCGTCCCTCTGTTGGTGGTGCTCCCTCCCTCGTCCCTCTGTTGGTGGTGCTCCCTCCCTCGTCCCTCTGTTGGTGGTGCTCCCTCCCTCGTCCCTCTGTTGGTGGTGCTCCCTCCCTCGTCCCTCTGTTGGTGGTGCTCCCTCCCTCGTCCCTCTGTTGGTGATGCTCCCTCCCTCGTCCCTCTGTTGGTGGTGCTCCCTCCCTCGTCCCTCTGTTGGTGGTGCTCCCTCCCTCGTCCCTCTGTTGGTGGTGCTCCCTCCGTCGTCCCTCTGTTGGTGGTGCTCCCTCCCTCGTCCCTCTGTTGGTGGTGCTCCCTCCCTCGTCCCTCTCTTGGTGATGCTCCTTATATTGTCTCACTCATTACTGTGTAACTGACCAGGTGTTGGAGCACAGTAGTCTACGCTCTTCCCTCACAATTGAAGGACCCGGGTTCATTCCTCGGGCAGGATAGAATTATGGGGAGACGTTTACTTTCACCTGATGCCCTTGTTCACCTAGTACTAAGATGGGTTCACGGGAGTTAGGCAGTTGTATGGGTTGCATCCTGCGAAGGTCAGTACATGACCTAGGAGGACGTTGATAAGCCTAACTCCAGGCCTCCTGTCCCATACAAGACGAATGAATTTGTATTTCACTTTTATTATTATTTAATTTATATTATTATTTATTTATATTATTAATATTTAATTTTACAAAAAATTATTTTGTAAATGTATTTCACCTTTTGAGAAATACCTGTGAAGAATGAGGTTTATGTTATGTAAGGTAATATCAAGGTAAAGAAGACTGTATTTGGCACGTTTAACCTTGCAGGCAACATCACCTACATCTGGACGTCTGGACGTCTGTGTGACTTCACAGGCTGCGAGACCCGCGATGACCTGCGTCCCCTCAACGTCAACGGATGGTTCTGGTCCAACACCAACACCAAGACGGCGCCCACCAACAAGACGCCACCTGGCTGGTCCTACCAGCCATGGAGCCAAACCGGCCACACCGGCAAGCCACAGCCCGACAACGCCGAGTTCGACATTAACCAGACCACCGAGTCCTGCCTGGGCGTCTTGAATAACATTTACAACGATGGTGTTAAGTGGCACGACATTGCCTGCTACCACCCGAAGCCCTTCGTGTGTGAGGACAGCGACCAGCTGCTGGAGTACGTCAAGGCCACCAACCCCAACATCCAGCTCTAAGTCTCCTGCTAGCAAGCCGCTCTCACAACCTCACCATCAACAACACTCACACTTCACCATCAGCTCATAAACAAGGGGCCAAACTTACAACAACAAATGTTACCCTTCATAAAAAACATCCGCCAAAACGCTTTAATGACAAGAACTCTTTTAGGCGCCAGTGATAAACTATTTAACTGACTCTCAAACACCTGCTGCAGACCTCCTCCCTGGGATTTACATATATATATTATATATATATATATATATATATATATATATATATATATATATATATATATATATATATTAGCGTGTGGCTCTGTGACAGTATGGGGTTTCATCCAGTAGTGGTTCATTCATCCATCTTGGCGGTAGGTTCATCCAGCCGAGGGCTGATGGTAACGTCTGGTGGATGAGTTACACCACAAGTGGATGATGATGCAGCCCGTGATGACCCAGGTTGAGTGTGAGTGACCAGGTCACCCCACCAGGTCACCCACACTAATATTTATTGTGTGATACATTACTTTATTACTATTAACTATCTTGTGTACAATAAATAAAGATTAAATTTGTGTTTCATTAGTCTAAGAACATTTGTAGCAGGAGTATCAGTGGGGGGGGGGGACACTAGTGATACATGTATCACTGGAGGGAACACTTGTGACAGGTGCATCACCGGCGGGAAGTATTTGCAACACCAAATATAAATATGTACAATGAGCCAGAATTTTGCTAAAAAATAAAGCTCATGAATCAGATTTCCGATATTTACGATATTTTGAAAACTGCAGGAGGGTTTGGGCAAAATATGACCCATCGCCGTTTTCAGTAATTAGCATATTTTTGGTATAAAAGGTCGTAATTTGAAAATGAAAATAGATGCAGAGAGTCAGAATTCGGCTCAAAAATCACGCTCAGTAGTCAAATTTCCGACATTTTGGATATTTTGAAAACTGCAGGGGGGTTTGGGCAAAATGTGACCCATCGCCGTTTTCAGTAATTAGCATATTTTCGGTATAAAAGGTCGTAATTTGAAAATGAAAATAGGTGCAGAGAGTCAATATTCAGCTCGAAAATCACGCTAAGGAGTCAAATTTCCGACATTTCAGATATTTTGAAAACTGCAGGGGGGTTTGGGCAAAATAGAACCCATCGCCGTTTTCAGTAATTAGCATATTTTCGGTATAAAAGGTCGTAATTTGAAAATGAAAATAGGTGCAGAGAGTCAGAATTCGGCTCGAAAATCACGCTCAGGAGTCAAATTTCCGACATTTCAGATATTTTGAAAACTGCAGGGGGGTTTGTGTTGGGAAGAAAGCTTACTCTCTATTAATTGATTGATATTTAATTAATAGATTAATTTAAATTAATCGAAGGACCACCCTATTTTGACTGAAAGGGGAAACAGATAAAGTTAAATGATAAGGACTGAAATACCAGTGCCTATGGATAGGAAACTATTAAAGATTATTCTTTAAACTTCTATGGGCTGTATAATATATTAATGTTCGAGAATAAACTTTCCGTCCTTCACAAAATTGGGGGTTAATACCAGAAGTAATCTACTCCCAGTACGCTTCATCGAGGCTGGTTCTTCCTCGAATAAAAATTAGTTATTCTACTAAATACTATTAAGAAACATTAGATAAATTTATCAATGGTCAAAAGATTATATGTTGATTAACCAAGCAATTATTCTCATTTGACATTTATGAGGCTAACATATTACGTTAGATATCTCAAATCAAATAAACTAAATCTCTTCGAGTGATCTAGAATTTTCTCAGTTAAAGAATTAATAGAAAAGGTTTCTGCTGCTTAGCTGTAATAGTGAACGGAGAGGTAGAGGTGCAATGGCATCGTCTGCTACTTGCTGCAACGCGTGGGTTCAAGCATGGCGAGGGAACATGATGACCACGACCGCTTACAACACAAGCTGAAATTTCAACTGAATATACTAATTGTTTACCCCTATTATCTAATATCCTCACTATGCCATAAAAGGAATAAATTTAATTCCTTATGGACGTACTTATTGTTTGGGGAGGTCGCGTAGCATAACGATGGACAGTGCACAGTACAAGGATATAAAGAGTGCTCATTATAAACAATACTAAGGCACTTAACCTGCTGGTTGTCCACCGAAGCAATCCTAGATTGCTACTGGAGCAATTGCACGCTCCTAGGCCGATTAAATGCAAGGGCCTAACGTAGTATTGATGGAAATCAACTCTCCCGGGACGCACGATGTGATTGTTGGCGTCTCTAGCGAAGCAGCATGGCGAATAATAATGGCGTTCAGCAGGGTTGCCAGATGTAAATTGCGGAAAGTAGCGAGCTGACGGTCTAAAAGTAGCGGATTTATAATAAGAGTAGCCCAATCTTTTTTAGTGAATGATATGGGTTTCAAAGTAATATATTTTGATATATATAGTACACTACACGATGTTAATTGTTTTATTAATATTATTTCTGCACACACACATATTATATATATATATATGTCGTACCTAGTAGCCAGAACGCACTTATCAGCCTACTATACAAGGCCCGATTTGCATAATAAGCCAAGTTTTCATGAATTAATGTTTTTTCGACTACCTAACCTAACCTAACCTAACTTTTTCGGCTACCTAACCTAACCTAACCTATAAAGATAGATTAGGTTAGGTTAGGTAGGGTTGGCTAGGTTCGGTCATATATCTACGTTAATTTTAACTCCAATAAAAAAAAATTGACCTCATACATAATGAAATGAGTAGCTTTATAATTTCATAAGAAAAAAATTAGAAAAAATATATTAATTCAGGAAAACTTGGATTATTAGGCAAATCGGGCCTTGCATAGTAGGCTGAGAAGTGCACTCTGGCTACTAGGTACGACATATATATATATATATATATATATATATATATATATATATATATATATATATATATATATATATATATATATATATATATATATATATATAATCTTTGGACAACACCCACCAGTGGGACTCGAACCCAGAAAGCACAACTACCTTCCAGTAGCTGCCATAACTAGTATGCTTTAACCCACTACACCATCAGACCTTACAAAAGAAGTAGATAGTTCGAGATATATATCCCAAACATCTCTACTTCCCGAAGGCACCAGATGAGTGTGGGGTCAGTCTGCATTTTTCGTCAAGCCACTGTCAATGTGAGAGAACTCGTGTCCAGCTATATATATATATATATATATATATATATATATATATATATATATATATATATATATATATATATATATATATATATATATATATATATATATATATATATATATATTTAGACACTCAACCCACCAGGGGACTCGAACACTGGCCAACAAGGTGGCAGTTGCATGCTGTATCCACTACGCTATACTTCAAAGCCATAAGAGAGGTAGGAATTCTGGGGTATTTAACCAACCAGAATTCCAATCCTCTCCCAGGCGATGAGATAGTGTGGGACCTCGGATGCTCTTTCATCGGTTCCTGTTATATGGGAAAACTCAGTGCCAAATGCTTAATGCACAGACTACCCTATTCCAGTAGCTGAAGTTTATAACTTTTTAGACATGTCTAAAAAGTTATAAACTTCAGCTACTGGAATAGGGTAGTCTGTGCATTATATATATATATATATATATATATATATATATATATATATATATATATATATATATATATATATATATATATATATATATATATATATATATATATATATATATATATATATATATATATATATATATATATATATCACTTGTTCCCTTGTAACTCACTTGTAACACTTATATGCTGTGCTTCCTATTTTAACCTGCTATGTTAAATGGGATTCTTGTATTGTGATTTGTGTATTTGTACTCACTGAATTTGTGCGCCCCTTGAGGGACTTGAAGTAAGGGAGTAGAAATAGCCTAAGCTACTCTATCCCTTTGAGATGTATTTTTGTATTGTCTCAATAAACATACTTGAACTTGAAGTGGACGTTAATGTTTTTTCAGCAACTTTATTTCCTTAGTTTCCGAGCTGTTTTCTTTACCGTGTATGTTGTAATAAACTATTCCTATATTTACAGTTGTTTCTCCCTGTGAAGATTATTAAACAATGGTGATTATAAGGGCGCGGAAGTTCAGCCTAGCCAGGGCCGCCAGCAGCCCTTGGGCCCGCCCCGGCAGCACCCAGTCTTTAATTTGGCACCTTTGTGGCACCTTTGTGGGACCTTGGTATAAGCCTAACATGTATATATACACACTGGATGCCTGTCCCCCCTACACAATGATTTATTATTACCTATTATTTTATCATTTAATTTAAATATTAAATAAAATAACTTATTTAATTATTATAGTAAGTACTTAATAATAAGTAGTAAGTACATAAAAATGATTAAAAAGTACAGTTTAGTCATAGGAGATTCCTAGATAGGAATTCACTACCAAATTTCAATATATCCAAATATTTTTAGTGTGAAATTCAGTTATTATATGCATAAATTGTTGTTTTAATAATATTACGCTTAACCACTTGGACTGGACGGTAGAGCGACGGTCTTGTTTCCTACAGGTCCGCGTTCAATCCCTGACCGCCCAAGAGGTTGGGCACCATTCCTTTCCCCCGTTCCATCTCAAATCCGTATCCTGACCCCTTCCGAGTGCTATATTGTTGTAATGGCTTGGCGCTTTCACTTGATAGTTTCCCCACCCCCCCTGAATAATATTACGAGAGCAGTATTTACGGGCTATTCATGCCCGTGCCACATCTTGGGTGGCTTAATCTTCATCAATCGAGAGCAGTACGTCCTAACCAGACATTATATGATGATATCCTAAACAGTTGATAAATAAAAGTAATTGCGGAACTCCAGTTATCTAATAATTATCATAAATGGTATAAAACCTTATCATAAGCCAAGGGATTTGTAGATCAGTGTTTAAAAGGTAATTTGGAAGTAATAATAACACAGCTGATGCCATCTGTCGGCAGAAGAGAACACTATCAACTGGCTGGTCAACAGTGGCCATAAGGTACAGCTTACGCCATCTGTTGACATCAAATTACACTTATAACAAATTACCCCACAAAATACCACTAACGCCATCTAGTTTTTTTCCAACGCACTATAAATAGCCAAACAGCAACCCATAAGGTGGGTTGTTGTGCTCGGGTAGGAGGTTCCAAGCTCCGCCCACAAGTGGTATGAGGGTGCATAATCAATGGCATATCATTGGTAGAAACTCTTTGTTGACATTCACACAACAGCCAATCACAGAAAGGGATCAGCTAAAGGCTCCATCCACTTAATAAATCATCTTTATTCAGCACACCATCCTTGCTTATGACATTCTGCTTCAACTTTAATCTACCTAAAAAGTGAAATGTTAAGTATTTAAAAATATTAATATAGTGATAATTAAATACTGCAGGATGTAACGAGTGTTACAGAAACACGGGCTGGCTACCTAACTTGTGACGTCATCAGTGGGTGTTGCCTCACACAAATAACATCGGCGATACAATGCCTCCGTCCTCTTATTGGTCTACATTATTCAGTTAGATGGAAATTTCTGTCTTGTATAAAACAGAAATTGTTGTTCTTTTGTACAACAACAAGGTTATTGAGCAAAAGGACGTATTTCTTATTTTGCATTTTATTCATATAAGCGTTGGCATTCCCCGCAACAGCCAATCACAGGAAGGTATTTGTTGGAAACTCTACCTTCAACAAAGTTGATTCCTAATGAACTCTAACAATAAATTCGTTTAATAAACGAGTATTTAGGGTCAAGCTACAGATGAACATTATAGGATAACGGTGTTTTAGCTTGCAGCTTCGTTAGACAGAATCCCTGGTCTTAATTTTAAAAATAAAGAACTAAAAAGCGTATTTTATTGCTAACTTTTCGAGAAATAAATCCCAGTCGCATATTTGCCAACATTTATGCATTGATTTTTTGGCTTAAGTTCTTATCATAATCCCTTTTGCAATCTCAACACCATCTGGCTCGTATCTTGTAACTATCTTCGTTACTTAGCCTCAAAACCTTACATTTGTCTTACATATCCTCAACAGTAGATCAAAAAAAAGTAATTGCAGAATTCTAGTTACCTAATACCAGCTTGGTATAAAACCTTATTATAAGCTACCAGACGTATAGATCAGTGTTTAAAGTAATAATAATACATTATTATTAATGTAATAATATTATTAAAATAATAATAATACAGCTGATGCCATCTGTCGGCAGATAAGAACACTATCTTCTGGCTGGTCAACAGTGGCCATAAGATACAGCTTACGCCATCTGTTGACATCAAATTACACTTATAACAAATTACCCCACAAAATACAACTAGCGCCATCTCTTTTTTTTCCAACGCACTATAAATAGCCAAACAGCAACCCATAAGGCGGGTTGTTGTGCTCGGGTAGGAGGTTCCAAGCTCCGCCCACAAGTGGTATGAGGGTGCATAATAAATGGCATATCATTGGTAGATATTCTTTGTTGACATTCACACAACAGCCAATCACAGGAAGGGATCAGCAATAGGTGCCATCCACTTAGTAAATCATCTTAATTCAGCGCACCAGTCCTGCTTATGGAATTCTGCTCTAACTTTAATTTACCCAAAAAAGTGAAGTGTTAATTATTTAAAGTGTTAATAAAGTGATAATTAAATATTGCAGGATATAACAGATTTTATATAAAAATGGGCTGGCTACCTAACTTGTGACGTCATCAGGGGGAGTTGCCTCACACAAATAATGATACGCTGCTCTGCCCTCTTATTCGAGTAAATTATTCAATTAGATGGAGATTTCTGTCAGGTGCAAAACAGAAATGGTTGTTCTTTTTCACAACAACCTTGTTGTTGTGCACAAGGACTTATTTCTTAGTTTAAATTTTATTCATAAAAGAGTGTTGGTATTCCCCGCAACAGCCAATCACAGGAAGGTATTTCCGGAAGCTCCGCCTCCTTATGGACTCAACACATCGCTCTAGCTCATGGCTCGCTGTTTCATCTCTTGTATATACAAACTATGACTTTTTTCGATTACTGTTATAATTAATAATACGCGATATAAAAGTTTTTTACACAAAATGGCTAAATTCTGCCATTAAATGGACTGTGTCTGGTATACATACAAACATACACCAATTTATTACCATTCATCCATTATTAATTTCAAATGTAATGTATACTGTCTAGTTTTTTTTCCTCTCGCCATTACTTGGTGCAATATTTGAAAGTTGTCTATTTATTTATCGATCTATCTATTATCTTGTATTTATATTTACAAGTTTCTGTGCTTGGAAGAAAACTCTGCATTGAATTGGGACTAATTTATTAAATAATATTATTTAGTATTAATTAATATTTACAATTATTATTAATTACAAATATTTATAGCTTAGATACTTTCATGTAATTCGCAATCGTACGTTCTTAACATTAATAGCCCAAATTAGCACATCTTGCTTTGAAATTAGCCCAAAAAGTAGCAAGTAGCGAAATTAATAATTTGGGAGCGCTGTGCCTCTCGATGTCGTGAGAATATTAGCAATAGGCTCAGATAAAGAAATATTAATTTATGTTAACACTACCGCTAGTGAAATTAATAACTACTGTAATTAGTATATAATAATGATGTATTATAATACAATGGTAGTGTGTTACTGTTGGAAATTTCCAACAGTTTGGGCAAAATGTGACCCATCGCCGTTTTCAGTAATTAGCATATTTTCGGTATAAAAGGTCGTAATTGGAAAAATGAAAATAGGTGCAGAGAGTCAGAATTCGGCTCAAAAATCACGCTCAGGAGTCAAATTTCCGACATTTGAGATATTTTGAAAACTGCAGGGGGGTTTGGGCAAAATATGACCCATCGCCGTTCTCAGTAATTAGCATATTTTCGGTATAAAAGGTCGTAATTTGAAAATGAGAATAGGTGCAGAGAGTCAGAATTCGGCTCGAAAATCACGCTCAGGAGTCAAATTTCCGACATTTCAGATATTTTGAAAACTGCAGGGGGGTTTGGGCAAAATGTGACCCATCGCCGTTTTCAGTAATTAGCAGATTTTCGGTATAAAAAGTCGTAATTTGAAAATGACAATAGGTGCAGAGAGTCAGAATTCGGCTCAAAAATCACACTCAGGAGTCAAATTTCCGATATTTCAGATATTTTCAAAACTGCAGGGGGGTTTGGTCAAAATAGGACCCATCGCCGTTTTCAGTAATTAGCATATTTTCTGTATAAAAGGTCGAAATTTGAAAATGAAAATAGGTGCAGAGAGTCAGAATTCGGCTCAAAAATCACGCTTAGGAGTCAAATTTCCGACATTTCAGATATTTTGAAAACTGCACTGGGGTTTGGGCAAAATATGACCCATTGCCGTTTTCAGTAATTAGCATATTTTCGGTATAAAAGGGCGTAATTTGAAAATGAAAATAGGTGCAGAGAGTCAGAATTCGGCTCAAAAATCACGCTCAGGAGTCAAATTTCCGACATTTCAGATATTTTGAAAACTGCAGGGGGGTTGTAATAGGAGTGCCTCCACTCCCGTCAAGCACAACTAGATGAGTACATCTCCAGAATGCAGCCTGCATCAGCTGTCTAACTTCCAGGTATACCTGTTTACTGTTAGTTCAACAGAGGCATCAAGTGAAAGAAATTCGGCCCATTTATTTCCTTCTCGGTCGGGAATCGAACCCGGTTCCGTGGACTGCGAATCTTAAACATTGTCCACTCGACCGCGAGACCCTTCATGTCCCTATTTTTGTTTATATAGTTTACAGTTAGAATACTAACAGTTGAGAGATTCATTACCTGCTGCCACTTACTATTAGTAGCGATATCTTAACTTAATCCTGACAATTACAATGTCACACTGTCTAGTGAATATGTTGTGCTGTCCGTACAGCCGTACATATAATAAATAAAATAAATGTTTATTTAGGTAAGGTACATACATACAAGAGATTTTACAAAAATTGATAGATTTATAGATAGAGCTAGTACATACAATGCCTAAAGCCACTATTACGCAAAGCGTTTCGGGCAGGAAAAACATTAAAGACTAAAACTTAATACTACTTAATATAATGACTAATATAGTCACACTCTGATTTGTTACACCGATAAGAAGAACTAAACAACTCGGTAATTCTGAACGAAAACTTGTGGACTTAGGCCCCGTTCGGTACAAATACAGATATTCGATTTGACGATAAAGCTGAAGCTCACACAACAATATAATCTATGCATTTACACAAAGGATCCCCAGACTGTCCCTAGTTAAGATATGGTGGCTGGATAGGGTAAGAGTGGAGGTGGAGGCGAGGGAGGAAGTATTGTGAGGAATGAGACATTGTGGGAAAGAGTGAAGGACGAGGGTGAGTAGGTCAGCTGCTTGAAGGTGATCCCTCCAGCTCCTGCCTCCTCTGGGACACGCGCCACCTTCAGGACACACGCCTCCTGCAGGGGCACACACGCCTCCTTCAGGACAGCACATCTCCTCCAACGCGCTCCCAGAGATACATACTGAGAAATTAAACAAGGTAGAGACCGTATAATATGTAGATAGCATGTGATATTTGGTGTGCAGGGCTGGGCTGGTTATCAGAGCCAGGTATGCAAGACTGCACGAGATATGCAATAGTATCAACGAGGTTTCAACACACTGTATTTGCACTCTAAATAATTAAAACTAAATTGTAACAAATTAACTGTCAAAAGTGATCTGGGAGCATGAGGTGGGTGGACTAGTTATGGAGTGAGGAATGTGTGAGGAACAAGGACAAGGCTGACCTACATACCTGCACTTCACACCAGGACAGACACGTGTCATGTGTAAGCTTAAGTATTTGGCTGGAGTGGTAGCAGTTTAGTACATTGTTATGAGTACTGCAGGAGTAGGACAGTGCTATTGGTAGTAGTTCATGTGTGGAATAATTTAATTTGTTTTTTCAGCAAGATTTTAACATTTTACTCTTTAGTTGGGATTGCAGAAATTATCTCCTGTTGGTGTTTGTGCTGCTCGCAGGTAGAGTGTAACTGAGTGTACAGTGAATGAATCGTCAAATACAGTTAATGTATTTGAAATTAAAACACTATTAATACCAGGAACTATACTTTAAAATTTACTGAAATATATATATTTTTCAATAAATATGCAGTGTAATTACATGCAATAAATAAAACTGAAGTTGTGGGAGAATGTGAACTTTCAGGAAATGGAATATTCCATGAGCAACATAAGTACAGTATGTGTGTATCGTGGCCTCTACTCTTAATTTAGGTACAGCATTTACGTCTGTTCTCATGGTGTGGTATATACACAGATATAGATCCGTCTTGCCCATTATGTAAACATAGGTTACATACTATTGTACTGCCAGTCGCGGTGCATATCCTGACACCATCAGACTGTTTAAACATCAGACAAATGAAAGGAGAGCCACTAGATCTTTAAGTTGCAAATTATCTGTTATGCACGTACTGTTAGAAACACTAACTCTCTTGCTAAACTGTTGCAGTTTATATGAAATTCCAGGATAATAAGGCATGCATTTATTTCTGCATGCAAAGAAGGTCTAAACTCTTTAAGTTAGGGCCAACTCCTTCAGGGTACCAAGAGAGAGATGGGCACTGAAGCACACAGTAATAATCAATGATATACCGTACCTGTATATAAACTTGTCAAGTTACAGTGATGGAGTAATTTATGAGACAGTCATGGTGCAGTGAGCCATATGGTCAGGCTTGTGGCAGTCTCTTGTCGAATGGAGAATGTTGAGCAGATGCGATGAATCTGGTGAAAGAAGTGATTTCTAGTTGGATTGACCTCTGACTTGCTTAGCTGTTGATTGATTGATGAAGATTGAGCCACCCCTAGAGTTGGCAAGGGCTTGAGTAGCCAGTAAGGATTAGCTGTGTGTTTGGCTGCTTTATATAGTCAGCCAAAGCTGTAGCCAGATTAATGGTGCTTCCAAATTGGCTGCCAGCTGAGCAGGAAATAGTTGTTTGAACTGAGGAGTAGTTATATACTGTGGAAGCTGCTGTTCAAGACGCTACAAATGTCATAGTAAACTGTCATAGTATACTGGCATGGCATTGTCATAGTAAACTATGTAGATTTCATTGCTTATGTGCAGAGGCAAATCCCAGGTTTCACTCTTCAGAGTTCATTCAGTTAATACTGATTTAAGAATTAATTTTTAATGAAGGACAACAACAAAAATACACACACAATGGGCAATTTTTAAATGAAGATTAATATTTATGTACAATTTCTTGGGAAGTACCATAACTTTGTTTTATTGGGAAAATAAATAAACAATTTTCTTGGCACCTAGACTGAAGTTGGTTATGGTAGGGAATGCCAGTTTTTTGTGATGTGACCATAGCCAACTTAAGCAGCAAAATGGTTAAGTAGTACAGTACTGTACTACTTAATCATTTATCTGTAATCATATTAAGCCCTACTTTATATTTTTTTGAGGAGCTTTATATTTATATCAGGAGCACAATTTATTTTAATAAGTGTTTGTTCTCATTTCTCTGTAGTACTGTATAAGTCTCAGAAACACTACAAAATGGCAGTTGACGATGATGGAGATGTGCTGCCAGATCGTGATGCAGCTAAAGGATTTTATGCTAAATATGAGCCAAAGGAAATTCTTGGGCGAGGAGGTTGTTCTGTTGTTCGTCGCTGCATTGGTATGTATAATTCTTTATTAAGCATTATCATAGCATTATAGTTAACAAGGCACATCCATAATAGACTAGAATGTAATTGGTTGCCATATGCAGATGATCATTCTTCTCTAAAAAATATTTTATTTATTATAACAATAACTTTCTTTGCAGAAAAGGAAACTGGCCAACAGTTTGCTGCCAAAATTATTGATCTGAGCGACTCCTCTGATGAGGGTGTGTATGAAGCCACTATTCGGGAAATAGATGTATTGCGCATGGTAGCAGGGCATCCATATATAAGTAAGTACATGTTAAATAATATGCTGTACTGTATTAAGAGAGTAGAGGTAATATTTTTAGCACCTGGTAATCTCTGATGCTTGGAGAATTCAGTACATTTGTATGTGTGTTACTATTTATTTGATCTTTCTAAATGGGTACCTTTTAGTTTTTACTTAATTATGTGGTACATTTCTTTAAAAAAAAAAAAAATGTGATGCAAGATATCTGGAGATTTACATGTTTTAACTTGAAACTCTCAACAATTATTATGCTACTGGATAAACCTATAAATCTTGATTGCAAACAATATCCTAGAAAGTTTTACGTTGGATTTTCTGAGCAAGGCTTCCCTTGATTACTGTTGTGAGTCAGGGCCATGGGTCCACCTAAAGTAATGCTAACACACCAAGCTCTGGGCCACTTTGTTCAACTGAGACATCTAACTTTTTAAATTGCCTTGTCCTGTTGTACAGAGGTGTTGTACACTAGATAACATTCCTCAATCCACTAAAGAACATGAAACTTTGGTGATACCAAAGAACATATCAAACCACCAAATGATCATTGAAACCACTAAGACCACAAATTACAGTACCACACTGAAGATGCAGAATTAGCAACTTCCCAACACTGACCATCACAAGATGTAAGCAATAGCTAGTACATTCAGGTCGGAGGAGGTAGCATTTCATATTTTGTGCCTTGTATCAATCATGCAAAGCTCTTAAGTTCTGCAGAGGCTGTTTCAGTGAAGCTGACAGGTTTTTCTTAGAAGCTTAGGTTTTGTATTCAAAGTTTCATGCCTTGGTTTTCATTTCACGGAATGGTTCGAAGTCATTGTGAATTTTAATACCCTCAGCATAGTCTGACTCCTTTTGAGTTGGGCCACTGCCTTGGTGGGGGGCTTTTGGGATTTTGTATCTAGATCAAAGTCTTGATGCTGGTTTTGTTTACCAACACTACAGATATGTAGTCTTATTGGTTTAATTATGTGCTAACCTTAGATAGCCAGATTTTTCACATGTGCTCACGTGAATGATTTTGATTTTCTGGGAAAGTTCTTCTGTATCTCCTAGAGCTACCCACCCGGAATCCTCCAGATCCATGTACCACACCAGGCTCTAATGAACAATGAATGATCTTGAATGTTTACCATAGACTAGGAACAGAATCTGGCCACCTCAGTAGAGGCATAACAAAATGTGAAAGCAAGATAACCTTACTGAAGGAAAAATCCACCAGACAGGTAGAGTGTACCGAAATAAGCAACTGCTTGGATAACGTTTGCAACCTGATCTGAACAATGTACTCATATTGTTCAGGTGCATCTTCTAGTTGGCTCCACTTCCTTGCTGCCAGATGACAGCCCAGGCAACCTGAGGAACCTGGACAGCAACAACAGTCATTTATGCACTTGCTGTGCTTGTCTGCTGTCCTCTTGTTGTCTCCTAACTGTGCAAACCCTTACCTTTTCAGCTAAGCGTTGTCCATTCCTTGAATTCTGTTGTGTGCTTGGTCTTTTACTGATTTTTACTGTTTCATTTGTGTGTTTTGTTACTTGTCTCGGCTGCATGTGGTCAGAGTTGGCTTCTCTTGTTGTCACTGGTGTTGCCCCTGTCCTCAGTCAAGGTCATCTTCCTGTGAGAGGGTTCAGGAGTCTGCCACCTGGGGTTACCTCTCGAGGGGCTTCTTCATGAGTAGTGTATGGGCTTTGGCTCCTATTGGACTCTGTGGTTGGGGTGGGTGGGAGTTTGTTTCTGTTGGTACATTGTGTGTAATTGGCAAATCTAATTACCTAAGTGTAGTTACAGGACGAGAGCTACACTGGTAGTGTCCCATCTTCCCAGTACTCTTTGTTGTTTAACGCTTTGAAACTACCGACGGTTTTGGCCTCCACCACCTTCTCACTTAGCTTGTTCCAACCGTCTACCACTCTTTTTGCAAAAGAAAACTTTCTAATGTTTTCTCGGCACCTTTGTTTCCTTAGCTTGAATCTGTGTCCTCATGTTCATGACGTTTCTGGTTTCAGGAATTCCTCTTTGTCAATTTAGTCGATTCCTGTTAGTATTTTGTAAGTGGTGATTCTATCACCTCTTTTCTGGGGGGAGCCCCTTCAGCTCCCCGGAGCTATCCAGGCTGATATGAATATCATTAGACTTTGGCATCAGTCAGCGTGAATGGAGTTCAGCATCTTCATTGTTGTTGGTGCCTCTCATTATTTGAGTATCTGGTGGAATTCTTGGCTGTGCCCCTGGGCCCTTCTCTTTTCCTGATGTCAGGCCTTGGGGAGCCTGTAAGGAGGCCCACAGTAGTGCCCATGCCTTTTTAAGCATGGGCACTACTTTTTAAGTCCTGTGGACTACAAACACCTTGAGTGTTCTGCATTTTTACTCTGGGGCCTCCTCAGAAGGCATTTCTAGAGACCTGCTGGTTTGTGGATTTGCCTCCCCTTTGTTGGGCATCTTGTTTGCTCACGAAGACAAAAAAAGTCTTCTGGAAAAAATGGAAAATGGCATCACACAAGGCTCTGTCCTAGGACTGATGCTGTTCCTAGTCTATGTAAGTAACCAACCCAAGATATTTAGTTCATGTGTGTCAGTATTTGCTTATTACACAAAACAAATAAGTAGAACCTGTGAAGTGCTGTAGTGTGTTGCAGGAAGACCTTAAATTCCAAGAGTGGGCACTTAAATGATTGTTGAAGTAATTGTGGGAAGCCGGCAGCAGGTGTAAGGAAATGTGTCCAAACGTATCTGTCCTGTGCAGTAATGAGACCCAGGAATTTCCAGTTGTGAGCTGACTGCATGTGATACTTAATCAGCACCTTCGCTTTTCAAACAGGAATTTTACAAGTTAATATCTTGGCTTTCACAACACTGTACTGTATGAGTTGCCAGCACTTTGTTAGGTGTATATATAAACTATGAAGATTGGTACAATATATGAAATTGATGTTGTATTATCTTCTTTTTTCAGTTGAACTTCATGACGTATTCGAATCATCAACATTCATATTTTTAGTGTTTGAACTTTGTGAGCATGGCGAGCTGTTTGATCACCTTACAACAGTGGTTACTCTCTCTGAGAAGAAAACCAAGTAGGTATCTGCAAAATTATTCTTTCTCATTTACACATTCAAACACTTAGTTTTCGTAACTACCTAATGTAACCTAACCTTGCCTCGAGCCTGGCTAGGACTTGGATCACATAGGTACCTGAATGTGGCCATTGACCTGGATGTCCTTTCCCCAAATGTGTACACAAGTATGAATAATGTATAATGCAGTGGAAAGTCACTTGAAAACACATTCATACTGGATTCTCATTACCCAGTGAACTTCACTGGGTTAATTTTTTTAACAACAATTACAGTACAGTATTATAATGCATTTTTTAATAAACAGGAATATGTACAAAAATGCTATTTTCTGGATCTAATACAGTACTCTGGCATTAAAACTTATAAATTTCAGGTATCAGTATTTTATGATCAAGAGTTACTTGTACAGTAAAGTACTTTAAATATTATGTAAGTTGGTGTTACATACAAGTCAATGGTTCTTAACACTGAAATAATTCTTTTCATGATAGTTATGTATTGGCAATGTACAATTTTTTAATTCTTACTCCTCAGGCTAATCATGCGACAACTGTTTGAAGCACTCGCTCATGTTCACGGGAAGGGCATTGTGCATCGAGACCTTAAGCCTGAGAATATTCTTTTAGATGACAACTACAATATCAAGCTCACTGATTTTGGCTTTGCAAAAGTACTGCAACCAGGAGAAACATTAACAGGTATGTTGCATTAACAGTTTATCTGCAGTGCTTTGTAGGTTTATCCCCCACATTATTCTTGAGACTTTAGACCTGCATGTACAGAGGCGCTATCATGGTGATCAAGGTAGTTTTGTATGAAATTTTCCTTATAATATGTTTGTTTAAAAGGATAAAGAGTCCTTTAGTCCTGGTGCCGTTTATGATTTGTATCTTAATTTAGACAAGCACTGAAAATTAAGTTAAAACTGTCTTCGCTCGGTAATCTGAATCATGTGGGGCCCAACCCCATTTAAATTAACCAAACATTTGACTTGGCCGAATTTCTTACCAGGCATTTCCAAACATGATCAAATTGTTTTTTGTACCACAATGAACATAATTCATATTTCCACAGGCAAACTCCTGCCGTTTACTCAAAAACGATGTGTATTTCATAATACACATCGTTTTAACGATGTGCTTTATAAAACGATACACATCGTTTTAACCCAAGTGATGTGTGTGTTTTTATGCTCAAAACAAATTTTAACTCAAATTCTTTTTCTGGTTAAAAAGTCAAGAACTCGAATGAAAATGTATTGGTCGAGTTACAGAAGTTTGGATTACCGAGCTCTTACAGTATCAAGAACAATTGCTTTGCTTTTCAACTGTACTGTACAGTGTACTAGGTTCTTCTGATTACTTTGGCTAGCAATTTCTTTGCTTTATATTTAACTCTTCCGAAGAAAGTTATTATGTATATTTAACTTTTACCCCAAGAGTAATGAAGTTTGTCTATTTTTGTCATTTTTAACCAGAATAGGGGTTTGTTTTGGGGCACTTGCCTTTCTGGGTGCCTGTCCCGGTCGATGGCAGATATAGAATGCTCCAAAATCACACATGCATTACTATAGGCTATTGCTCCTCGTGCCTCTCTGAGGGGGTCCAGGTTCTGACTCATGGTCAACCGTTAGGCCTAGAACTTCACCCACATCGACTGGTGCCAAAGTTAGGGATACAGTAATTATATCAGCCTGGATAGCTCCAGGGAGCCTCCGGGACTCACCCAGAAAATGGCGTTTCATTATATTCAACGCTGGTTTTTTCAGTATTCCTCCAGTAGATGAGGGATATGTATGATGGAGAAAACCTCTTGATATGAAATACGTATTGTATTGCTTTAAGAGGCATTATTGTGAGAGTGGTGATGAGGTTTGCAGATGTAGTGAAAATATAGAGACAAATACAGTAATAGTAAAAGGAAAAGAAAATTGATAAAGAAATTCATTGTTTAAATGTTAAAAATAGCTTTGAACAAGTATGTGTAAATGATGTGTTATATAGTATCTGGACAAGAGGAACTTCCAGTCTGTGATATGTTTTGTTTAGGACCACATTTTGATGAATATTTTACATAACTTTTACACAGAAATATTAAAAGTCCCATAAAGTTTATTTCTCAATCTGAGTGTTGTTGCTTTCTTAATTCTATTATGTTGTAAAATTTTAGGTTGTGTTTATATTATAGTACTGCAATGAAACGTTACTGAGGATATAATGTTTAGAATGTAGCTGAAGTAAAGAGGTGTACAGCAGTCTAAATCAAACTTATATTTTTGGCATTAAATTAGTTACATTTAGTTTCCAGTTTGAAATGTGATATATATAGGAATGATAAGAAGACAATTTAAAGAACTAATATAAAGTCATTCTTTAGTTGTATTTCCTAACAATTAATTTGGTATTTCTAGAAAAGTAGGAGTGGCCAGTGACAAATGAGTGCTTGAAAAAAAGAATTGTTTTGAGTTTGCTGGATGGGTGATTATCTTCAGGTAAAAGGATATCATTCATTTTGGAATGATTTCTTCATGGGTGGGTAGGAACATCAGGCCTTACATGAGATTGCAGTGTGAGAGGATGGACTCCTGAGATTCATCTTGAACATTTCCTCCATTAACAGTTATGCTTACCACGGTCAGCATTTTGAAGGTCCCATAGTTCACGTCCATACAAGCTTAGACATTGACTGTTAAATAACTTTACTTTTGACCAGGTATCAAGATAACTAAATTCGCTCATAATGACATTTGTCTGACTTGCAGGCCTCTAATACTATAGCATCAGAAAAATGGACAAGTGGCATTTTGAAGAAATAATGTCCCAGATTCTTTTCAAAAGACCTTATCAGAATATCTCTGCCTAGTAGTTTTAGTTTGGAATCAATATAAAATGAATCCCATGAGTTAAAGGGGACTACAGTACCTACCTTTGCCAGGATTGAATGTTGAGTTGTATTCTGCACAATATCTTTCACATATTAAGTTTTCCATGGCATGTTTAGTTCGTGCAAGTAGAACTCGATCATCAGCATAACATTACTAATTGCCTTAGTACTGCCTATGCAACAGCCAGCTTGAATGGCTCTTAACTTTCTTAAAAATGGATCAATGTAGCATATAATATGGGACTAAAACATCTCCATGATTGGCCCTATTTTTTAGTGAGAAATTTTCAGAGAGGACCTTACTTCATTTCACATTTAATTTGTACACCTGATATGAATGTATAAATATCTAACAATGACAGGGCATACTTTTCTGTTAAAAAATTCTCTAAAATGTTTGGTGTGTTCAACTTTGTCAAATGCTTTAGAAACCTCAATAAACAGAGTAGCCCATACATCACATCACATGTAGTAATCACAGTACTACAACTGTGAGTTGTAGTACTGAATAGTTTCTGCTACCGTGAAACTACAATGTTATTGAGTAGCCAGTTTTGTGTACAAATTGAAAGTCAGAAGTATCCAGTTCATCAGCTAGACACTCAATGACTATATCATATTCTTTGTTTAAAGTGGGTTTATGCACACACTTCTCAGGTTGTCCATCTCTACTGCTCTACCTGTTGATTTTTCGCGTTCATACTACAGTACTGTATATCATCTCTGCTGATCTCCCACTTTCTTCTCCACACCCGCTCAACGTTACCTTCACAAATACTATATAAGCAAGTCATTCCCATTTGTTTCATCATAAATACATAAATGAATACAAATAAAAATAGAAGGAATATGTTTATAATTGGGGGGGGATATATAGATTGAGCAGTACTAATGATTATGGCATGAATGATCTCATTGTTTTCCCAAGAATTCAGGAATATTTACCTCTGAAAATACTATACTGTATTAAGCAAATGCACTATATCTATAGTATATCTATATCTATACATGTCCTGGAAATACAGCCGGGTTCGTTTTCAACTCGCAATCGAGAATTCTGGGTTCGAATCCCGGACAGAAATGGTTGGGCGCATTTCTTATTACCTAATGCCCCTATCCACCTAGCAGTAAATAGGTACCCAGTAGTTAGCTTGTTGTGGGGTTGCATCCAGGGGAGGATCAGTAATAAACCCTGCAGGAGGGCCTCAATATAAGCCTAACATCAGCTTTCTGTATAAACTGGTTGCCTGTCTCCGACACAGTGAATTATTATTGTTAATTATTATTATGTTTGCTGATGATGCTAAGCTACGAGGGAAGATAAGAGACCTACATGATTGGCATGTTCTTCATGATGATGACCTTGCCAAAATAAGTGTATGGAGCAACAATTGGCAAATAGAATTCAATATGAATAAATGCCATGTTATGGAATGTGGAATTGGAGAAAATAGGCCACACACGACCTTCAAACTAAGTGGAAAAGCATTAAAGAACTCTGACAAAGAAAGAGATCTATGGGGTGGATCTGGATAGTAGACTGTCACCAGAGGACCACATAAAGGACATGGTGTAAGGAGCATAGACTACACTTTCCAACTTTAGACTCACTTTTAAATGCATGGATGTTCACAATCCATGAATGAAATGGATTCACAACTTCACAATGGAAAAAAAATCACAACTTTTGTAAAACCTAAACTGGAATATGCAGCATTTATTCTTGCAATAACAGGACAGGAACCGTGTTCCTGTTCTATACCAAACCTTGTTTGTTAAACCTTGCAGTTAAACCTTGTTCTCCTTAGTTAAACTCTTATGATAACCTTGTTGCACTCACTTTAGCCAAAAATTACAAGAACTATCCACAGGATTTCTTAGTCATAAAGATCAAAGTATGGTGTTGGTCAAACCAACACCATACTTTGGCTGGAATGTTCCTCCTACATTTTCCTTAAGATGTTAACTTTTTGTGGTACAGTATAAAGAAAATCCATTATTACAGCAAGTAAACATTGACATTTCAAATCAAATGCTCTGGGTCCAAAGATGCTGCATCACTGAGCAAAAAGCCAATAAGAAGCAATGCCATATCGTCACACCATTCCTAGGTGGTGGCGAAGGCAGCAACTAATGCCTTTAGTTTTGTATATGTTTTGTAAATTTAGTTAATTTTATATTTTTCATTTAGGGTATTTTTGGGTTATGAATTTTCAGATTCTAAATGCTTGACTGCAATTTGCAAGACTCTGGATGAATAGTGGTGGAAATTGTTATAAAAGACCTGACTAGATAGGGAAAAATAGTGAATCTGAACTTGAAAAATAATAAAGAATCCTGCATATTGATAAATGATTAAAATATGAACAATACTGGCCTGTAGAGAACAGTGAAGGCTTTTACAAATTGGCAATTAGCACTAAAAATTAAACCTATGAATCTAATTGTTCTGAAATTTAAGTTATACAGTATTACAGTATATATCTTTTAGATGTTAAAGTTTTTAAACCATTAGGAAATGTGTAGACACAAAAATTCCTCCATCCTCACCCACTTTGGCTTTACAATAGAGTGACGGTCTCGCTTCATGTACGTCAGTTTTCAATCCCCGACTGTCTAAGTGGTTAGGCACCGTTCCTTTCTCCCGTCCAATCCCAAATCCTTATCCTAACCCCTTCCAAGTGCTACTATATAGTAGTAGCACTTGGTATAGTAGTAGCACAAACCATTACTATATACAGTACTGTAGTAGTAATGGTTTGGCACTTTTCCCTGACAATTTCCTCCCTTCCCCCTTAAAAAAAATCTTTTATAT